GGGGAGGGGTATCGACGTACTCATCTGTACGTGGAGCAGCTTTTCTTCTCCACTGCCTTTGGTTCAGTTCGTTTTTTTGTTCTCATGGAAATTTATTCAGTTGCAGTTTTTTCTGTAACGTTTCTTTTCAGCAGGTGAATTTTCACGTCAACATTTTCTGTGTTTAACTTCAAATTCATGCCTAAAATTCATTAATGACTTCATTAGACGTGTTTTGCATATTTTCTTTAAAACGTTTTTCTTTTATATTTTACTAAGTACTAATGTAGTATTTCCGTTGAGGTTGTACTTTTGGTTGGACACTGATTAGTCCAGGGAGTCACAGTTTCTGTTCATGTGAGAGCTGCAGCAATTGTGGCCCCGCCCCCAAACATAACGATGTCACGTTCTGCCACAGTTTCTAACCAATCAGGACCAACCGTTCAATGTTAGAAAAATGTGTTTTTAAAGTACTTTCTCAGTTGTCGTTTACTCGGGGGTGACCAGATGCCCCCCCCACCCTGCTGGATTTTTACCCCAGACATGTGATGGCGCTGTTTCTGCCCCGCAGGTGTGTTTGCCTTCGGCCTGTTTGCGACAGATATCTTCGTCAACGCAGGTCAGGTGGTGACGGGGGGGCTGTCACCGTACTTCCTGTCTGTCTGTCGGCCCAACTACACCGGCACCGACTGTCGCTACAGTCATCAGTTCATCATCAACGGCAACATCTGCACCGGGAAACCCGCCGTGGTGGAGAACGCCCGCAGGTCGTTCCCGTCCAAGGAGGCTTCGCTCAGCGTTTACTCCGCCGTTTATCTGACGGTGAGAATTTTAGACCAAACTTTCAGATTTCTGTTTTTCCTGTCAATATAATTAGAAATGTCCGATATGAACTTTTTGCCGATATCCGATATTGTCCAAACACATAAATTCCGACATCAACTGACACTGATATAGACCTGGTAACAGTCAGTTATGTATCTGTACAAAACCGCTGTATGAGAGTAATTAAATGAGCTGCAGTGCTGCCATCTAGTGTTTATCACTTTGACATACAGGCGTTTATCCCCAAAAAGTACATTTTTGCAAACATCGACTGACCAGCTACAGTGACGTGATGTTCTGGGCGAGAGTGTAAGATCGATGAGCAGCAGTTTTATTTATTCTCAGTAAAAAGTACAAACTAAGTTTCACCTGGTGAAAGTTCTGAAGGTTCTGGTGAAAAGTTCAGAGAAGGTCAGAAGGAGCTGCTGTGACTCTGTGGATTCAGGGGAAGAAGTGAAGCAGCTGCAAAAGACGAGGGAGCAACGAGTCGAGGCCGTGAAGTTGATGAGCTGGAGGTGGAGGAGATGAAGACGCTGAGCTCTACACCAGGGAGGGGGGGGGTTCAGGAGGGGGGGGGGGGGAG